CTTGTGATGGAAAGAGAGGAGAACTTGTGGATCTCTTAAATGGCTGCTTGTTTTTTTGGACGCCTTTCAAGCATTTGGCTTTTCGCTCTCTGTAAATACTGGGTGTGCCGGCTCTGTCTGCGAGCATTCATGAGCACAGAGGTGGTGCCCCGATCTTGGCTCCAGCCACATCCCTGCCTAAGCATCTCTGGGGAGAGAGAGAGGGAGAGAGAGAGAGAGGGAGTCAGCCACCACCGGTGGTTCATGCGCGCACCCCTTCTGTGGGAGATCCGATTGCAGCACCTCCTTGGGGGCTTTGCGTGTTGCCTGAAAGCAGGAGGGATGAGCGGAGGCCCTTTGCAGAGGACCTGGAGCTCCCGGTGGAGTTTCCCCATCTCTGCAGCGTGCTGTGACCTGGATGGAGCTCTGAGGCAGGGTGCTGCCCCGGTCGTGCTGGGCTCGTGCGGGTCCCCGTGAGGCCGGCTGGGCAATACCCCTCCTCGGCAGCCTTGCCGGCGTAAGAGGCAGGGTGTTGTCGGGGGGGGGGCCCTGGGCATTTGGTGGGAGTCCTGGCAGGGTGCGTGTTTGTTCATTTAGTCTTTATTCACTTCGTTTATACCCCGCCTTTCTCTCCAGTGGGGGGCTGGGGACCAAAGCGGCTGACATGGTTCTCCTCCCTGTCATCCTTACAACAACCCTGTGAGGTAGGCGAGGCTGAGAAGAGTGTGACTGGCTTAAGTTCACCCAGCCGGCTTCCGTGGCACACGTGGGGGCTCAAACCCAGGTCTCCCCGATCCTAGTCCAACACGCTTAGCCACTCTGCCCCGCAGTGGAGATTCTGCCCCAAGGCCGCCTCTGGGTCACCACAGCCCTTGTCTCAAGAGAAAACTGTGGCTTGGGCGGGGGGGGGGCAGAATCTCTGGTTGACTCTTTGCAGCCTGAGGGTTTCGGAGTTGATAAAGAATCGCTGAGGAAGAGGTGGATAAATATTTCAACTTTCTCACTGCTGGGATGACAGTCTCAGGCACCCTTGTGCATGGGGGTTTCTTTTTTCCGGGGTTTAGCACTGGAAGGCATCTTTTGAGAGAGGAAAATACTTCTCTTCCTGCTTCCTGTGCCTCGGAGGTTGTCTGCCCACTTGGACACCGAGTCTCTGCTTAGCTGCAGACCCACCCCGCCCCCAACCTCCTCCGTGTTGTTCTCCCCCTGCTGGGTTGTGGCAGTGTTGACTTATCCTTTCAAGCAGCTGGACTTCTGTCTCCTCCTTGCCAAAAGGCCTGTTTAGTTGTGTGGGGTACGGGACCTGCCTGGATCAAGGAGACTGGTTTTATTGGAAAAGACTGTGAGGGGAGGGGTTGTGGCTTCTTGGTAGAGCCTCCGCTTGGCATGAAGAAGGCCCCTGGTTCAATCCCCGGCATCGCCGGTTAAAGGGATCAGGTAGAGGGTGATGGGAAAGACCTTTCTCTGCAAAGGACACCCCGGAGAGCTGCTTCTCGTCAGAGTAGACAAGGCTGACCTTGACGGTCTGATGGTGTGATTCAGCATAATCCATGCGTGTTCAGGCACCTCGTTTTCACAGCTTTGTAATTGTGTGGGGCTGAGTGCCGCCGGAAGAGCAAGTGAAAAAGAGTTCTCTTGGGTTTACAAGCGCCTGTCCACTTTGGGGAATGTTTCCTTCTGTGTCTGGAGATCCTTGCCCACCCAGGTTTGTGGGGGGTGGGTGGGCACCGGCTGCCTCCTCTTCCTGTTGAAATAAGGGCGGATGCTTTGGGGCAGGGGTGTGTGTGTGTGTCCTTTACCGCCAGTAATTAACACTGCCAGATGCCGTAATTAAAGGCTTATCAGCAGCGCACCTCCTGCTGCATTGCACTTTGGGAGGCTCCTTCATGCTTCGGATGCCACCGGAGAGACCAGCTTGACTATCAGCTTATAATGGCCGTTGTCTGCGTGTGAGAAAGCAAGCTGGCAGGTGGGCACGCCTTGGCGTGGGGCCTGTTTCCGAAAACCGACCGTGGCACCTGAGCGGTCCCTCTCGTCGGTCACCTGTGCTTGTGGAGAACGGGGGAGTAACTAGCTAGAGCTATTGATCCAAATGCTGCTTGACGGGAGGCTGCCGTTCCGTGGCAGAGCCGGGCCTCGCCTGTGGAAGACCTTGAGGTCAAGCCAAGTCTTGGCATCTTGGGGTCTGGAGGTGCTGCTGGGGAAGACCTTTCTCTGCCTGAGCCCCGGGAGACCGGCTAGTCAGGGTGGACAGTCCTGGGGTGGCTGGACCCTGCCTGAGGCCGATTCAGAGGGACTGTGCTCCGTGCTAGTTTGAGGCCCGTGTTGTGCTTTATTCCTCGTTTTGAGAAGCAGTGTGGTGTAGCAGTAGATCTCTGCTGTGCCATGGGAAGCTGCGGTGGGTGCCCTGGGGTCAGCCCTGCAGGGATGTTGTGAGATAAAATGGAGGAGTGCCTTGTAGGCGGTTTTGGGTCCTCACGCAGCTGCTTTTTTTGTGTGTGTGGGGGAGCTCTTTCTTCCCACTTTGCAGAGTTCTCAGCCCGTTTGGCCTCTCCTCTGTTTTTTAAAAGCCATTCCCTGCAGCTGCTGTGTGGTTGTGGGGAGCCCAAGCTGGAACCCAGGCCCAACTCTTTAAAAACCTCAGGAAGTAGTTTGGCCTCTGTACACCTTTTTCTCCTGTTGGCCAAGATGTGGGCCGAGGGGCTGCACCCTGGGTCTTTCAGAGGCGCCCCCCCCTTCCCTAAAGCACCCCCTCCTTCAGA